TTTCACTCACCTCATAGTTCTAGCCGACCTGTGACAATGAGACTGTCACAGGTCGGCTCAGTAGATCGGGAGGTGAGCGAACACATACCGGCGTTCGCTCACCTCTCGATCCTGTCACGGCTCTCTGCCGTGACAGGGGAGGGGCTGGATTCCCCCCTCCCCGATCCGCCAGAGCTGACTGGCGGAACGGAGGGGGGAGGGGTACAGCTGGCTCTTCCTCTAGATAGGTAGAGCCAGCTGTCAGTCACGCAGCTGGGCGGATCCCGGCACAATTGTCGGCATCCGCTTCAGCTGCAGCGTCTCAGTATACCGACCGACTACAGCTCGCGGTATACTGAGCCTAGGGTGATGGGAGGACGCTAGTTTTTGTCCTCCCGTTACCCTAAGGAGAACTATGGGGAAAAGCCTTACCCCATAGTTCTCCTTTAATTCCCAGGGGTTCACATACTTGTTCTTGCAACTGTAAGGGCTGGTGAGCTGCAATATATAATTTTTTTGCTTTTAGGTAGGGATGCACCGATACCACTTTTTTGGGTCTGAGTACGAGTACCGATACTTTTTTTGAGTACTCACTATATGTATGCATTATGCACTACAGTGTTCGGGCCTTGACATGTGCTCAGCCTCATCCATTTTCCACCATATGGGGATACAAGGCTTAGTTAGATAGAATAGCAAGCTGTAGTGATTTTTTTTTTTTTATAAACCTAATTGGTTTATAAAAAAAAATAAAATAAATCACTACTGCTTTCTATTCTATTTGGATGAGGCAAATTCTTGTCTCAGGGTGATGATGCAACAACAGTCCACTGTTTAACCATTAGCTTGTTCACTCAGTTTCCGCAGTTGTTCCTGCTCTCCGTGGCTGACCCTGGCTCTGGCTGACTGACTCTGGCTTTGTTTCCATTCATCCTGCTCTCAATGTTCTCTGACCTGGTTTGACTGACTACCTACTTTGGCATCTGACCTCTGGCTTGGTATAGACTACATCCTGCACTTTCTTCATTGTTTTTTGCCATTTATGTTTATTGTAGTTTTCAATAAACTCCTTTTATTTTTTTAAACTTGCGCTTTAACTTTCTGTCTGGTTTCTTGGTTCTCTAGCAGCTGACCAATGACTGGTCACCATTTGTTAGCATTATTATCATTCCATACTTAGGGGCTGCAAGTTTCGGTGTCCAGTGCTTTTTTTTGCCCACCTTTTGGACCTGAGGTATCCATCTATAGAAAGTCATAACCTTGGGGAAACATTTAGACATCTGTTTAGTATTGAACCTTAGAAGAAAAGCCCCCTCTTAGTCAAAAGCCTTAGTAAGAGCACATTGAAAAATGAGAGATCTCATACAGTAGATGCGGTGGTTGCATTTTTCCGCCTTTAATTCCTTTATGTTTATCTGGTGAACCTTTCTGTCCTGTTCCTGTGGTGACAACACATTAACCCTTCTCTATCAAGACAACAGAAACAAGATAGGACCATGGAACTCCATCCTTCTCCTATTGTCCATAACATAGAGGTGTAGTTCTAGATTCCTCAAAGAACAATATCATTAATAGGAGTGCAGCACAGACAGAGAGCACGGGAAGTTATCAGCTTACAACATTTGCATCAAGACCAACAAGTATCTTTTTTTCTTTTAACAGATGAAACCAATAGGGACCAAATTGGAGAAGTTTATTGTTAGGATTGTCATACACTTTAAGATACGACAATCTTGACAACCCCCTTCGGTTACAATGGACAGACACTGTTGATGCTCCTGATTAAAAGGGAGTTAAAACTGAAGTTTACATTATGATGAAAGCCTGCGGCTTGTTTATGTACAAAGTCTCCCAATTCATTAAATCGGACTGGTGGGCAATCAGAATAAAACCTGCCAGATGCTTTCTGCTATTTTAATTTCCTATAAAGCCGGCTGTTTTTCCACTTTGGTGTTCTCTGAGATGTAATTTGGAAGTCCCTACAGGAGCAAAGCAAAATAAATGCGTTACCTGGAGCCTGAAGAGTACTCGAATAATATTTTAAATCCTTTGTGATTGAAGATTCATTACACTTTGTAATTGTGATTTAAAAGGGTGATTTATAAATCATACGCCCAGCCATACGCTGGCCGAATGCCATTTGCAAAGCAAATTAACTCCACTAGATGGAGCCGAGAAGCATAGGAATTCCTTCGGGAATGATGTGTGAATGGCATTCGGCCAATGTATGGCAGGGCGTATGAGTTATAATTCATCCCCAAAGGGTAATAAAGATCCAAATTCAGAAACAGTGTGGAGTACTTCAACTATAAATATTGGTGGATATCAACGGCCTCCATTTTGTCCATTTTATTAGGTTTTCCAATTTACAAGTACACATAACATTTTGTTTGAAAGGCAATATAAAAACCCCAAGAAGATTGAAAGGAGAACATCAACACTGGTTAAGATTCTGAATTCTTCGACATTGTCATAGATTTGAAGGGTTATTCCGTATAAACCTGACCTGGGTTTAGAAATGTTAAAAAGGACCTTAAGAACCATAAATAAATAAATAAAGTAAGTAAATAAGAGGGGATTAGAAGGGGACCAAACACCAAAACGGTCCTTAAACGTACACTGCAAAGCCCAAAAGAAAAAAAGTCACACTCTAATATTTCGTTGGACTGCATTTAGCTTTCATTACGACACACATTCGCCGTGCCATCGTTTCCATGAGCTTATACAATGTCACAACATTTATTTTTGCACCTAAAATACATCTAATGATTTTTCAGTGAACATATAGCTGCATTAATTGATGTTTGTTTTAAACATCAAGTTAGAGTTCAACTTATATTGAACAGAATTTCACAGGGCTCAATTTACCGCTAATTGGCGACAATTATATCTCACTCTACTGCTTCTTAACATGAGGGAGAGGTTAAATCTAATTTCAAGTTATTTTGTGTATTTCAAACCATTTAGCTGAAGTAGAGTTTGGAAATGTAAACCTCTAATGCGTTCTTTGACATATGGCTAATTACGTAGCTCGCCCGCTATGGATAACGCTGCCAGTATATGCAAACAACTTTATGGATAATTTTATTTTAATGTTATTTTCTAGACATGTAATGCCCCGCATTCACTTTTATCTAGGCCTGCAATGTTGATGAAAGTTTAATTTAGCAGTTTTATGCTGTTTGCTCACTGTACTATCATCATGACCCAGACCCAGTAATAGGTCCTAAGCTGTTGGGGGTTCATTCACACCACAACACAGTTTGCTGCAGTGGACCTGTTTCCATGCATTGAGGCGTGCTTAATTAGGCAGTTAATATATTTTGAATTGTTTTGAGTCCACCAGGACACCCACGGTCTCCATGTGACTTCATAAAGTTGGAGAAGTAGAGAGAATTGAGGATCTGGTCTGGTCTAGTAAGGGTCTACATGCCAAGTACTGTAAGACGTGGTTCTATTGGACCGACTTCACTCAGGCACTAACATTTTCCTCTTTGATGCAGGATGCCCCTCCTTGAGGAAGTGGGCTGTAATCTTTCTTGCAGTCCGTGGTGCAAGAAATATAACCTACTGCCGTCAAATCCTCCCCACATTTTTTTCTTTAATTTTACTTTTCTTACTATGCTTCTCTTTTCTCCCCTCCTTCCTTCGGCTATTCTATCTAGTTCACTCCTTTCATATGCTGCAAGCAAGTAGATGTCTGGACCAAAGTCTTATGCGACTCCCCTCAGTTTAGGAACCCCTCAATATATCCTCGGAAGATGGATTTGAGTGTGATGTTACGCGACCCTATCTCATATGAAAGTGCCTGATGTACTCTTGGTTATTTCAACCCCTTTGATAAATATTTTGATACATTTGTCCACTTGCACTCTGGATGTATGGAGTGTTACATTTAATGATACAGGAAGATGGAGAATACTCCACTTTACCTCAATGTTTCTTTCTGTTTCTATTTTGATTTGAATCGAGCAATGTCTATACTTATTGACATGTTTGTTTTTCCTTTATTACTGGTCTTATTTCTTGATTATTTTTGTTTTTATATTGTAAAATCTTTCAATAAAGAACATACAAAAAATTTTGTTTAAAATGCTAGGTTTGGTTTCCGCCTGACAAATTTTTTATTTTCTGTTTCGGTCTTAAAATTACATTTTGGTGCACCTCTATAGAAAAAACTATTTGGTACACAATGGGTTAAAAAAAATGGCCAATTCATAGCCTGTGTGTGTTTTCCATGTTGCTGTCCCTCGGTGTACAAACACTAAAACTCTTCAGCAGCTCCCAACTCAGATAGTGCAGCTTCAGTGTCAGCAAAACCCTTATCTCTTATGAGAGTGAGCAATAGCTGGAAATAACAAACTCACTCCAATGCACAATCTATTACTGTAATAACAGAATTTCCTTTTACAGCAATTTATTGCCTGATACAGAAAGTTTTTTATTTTGTTATTACACTTTCAATCTTGGAAACTTCTAGTCCTGCATATTTTTGCCAGTTGGTTTATTTCTGTCGGAGTGCCTCTGCAACTGTGTCCTCGGGCTGTCGAAAAAGTATATAGATTCAATGAATAAGATGATTTGTGAGATTACATTGGCCAGTCGGTTGGATTACTAATAAAATACAATGCATTTATTTGTTTCTTACCCTGTTGTGTGTTTCTGGATTGTTTGCATTTGTAATAAAAAAACAAATATTTGAAGTGGAGGACTGGGTCAGTGTTTTTAAAACTACAGATTTTTTTTGGAGGGAGGATTTGCCTCTTGTGACTCAATTTCCCAGACCACCACTAGTCATACAAAGTTTTCTGGGGCTTTATTGCAAAAAAAGTAGGGCATTGGTTTATTGAAAACAGGTTCCCCTAAATATCACTAACCTCCGATTTATCCCCAATTAACACTTAGGGGACTGTAGCTAAACTATTCATCCACCCTCCGAATCTGAAAGATTCTCCATCATGAATCAATCACTCCTCTCCCTAACTGTCTTTGGCCTCCCTCTAACAGCTGTTAGAAGCTGTTTGGTTGCAGTGCAAATCTGCTCCAAATTTTGTCTGCTCCAGTTTTGATAAATTCCTCCCAATGAATCAAAGGAGTAACTAAATGCTGAATTCAGGTGGGGCCGAACACAGTTTCAATTACTGAGAGAGTTGGAAGTCAAACAGGATCTGCAGTGTTATCTGTATGGAAAACCTATATTGCTCTCAGAGTCGTGTGTCATGGAGGTACTTTGTATTAAAAACGTAAATATATGAAACATCAGTTTAAAAATGTATTAACTCAATACAATTTCAATTGCTGATTAAATCATTTTCAATGGATGCTGCTCCTGGAGGTTCAAGATTTTATTTTCCTGCAGAATCAGCTGGTCCCCTGAGCGATGGTCCTGACTTTCTGTTTTAGGGTGGCTCCTTTCCCTTGCACTGTCCTATGGAGCCACCCTTGTGTAAGCTGCGTGTCTTCACAAATGCGCATGCACAGCAAGGCACAGCATTCCCCTGCTCTCCGTTACTCCCTTTTCCAAGCTAGTAGATGGAGAGCTGCTGCAGACTGTTAAGGGTTATAAAGTGAAGTGAATAACTCAGTCGAAGTGAATAGCCAAAGTTTGGCTATTCACTTGAGCTCAGTACGGCTGATGTCAGTCGTACATTGGCTGCCTTTGGCCTCACTTCAGTCAGCCGAACCTTCTCTGTTATTGTTTAATGACAGATCAGCTTCCCCAGGTCATTTGGGGACGCTGATCTGTCATTACAACTGGGTGGAGCCAGCTGTGAGATCACGGCTGGCTCGGCCAGCTGTCATTTGCGAGGCGTATGGCCGGCTTCGGCGGTCACTTCGGCTCAGTCGAGCCGAAGCATATGCCTTATGCATATGCCTATAGTGAATAGCCCATATAGCAGCCCTTTGGTTCAACTAAACTGAAGGGCTCGGCTGGATCCTTCAGCTCCTTTGTGAATAGACCCCTGTTGTTTTGCTTGTATTCTTGGTCTGGACAGGAAGTTCAGGGAAACTGTGCTAAGAGAGTTGGAGCTGTTCAAAAACATGATGACTGCGTTGGGGCAAAAAGTTAATGAAATACTTTGCTGGGCAATTTATATTTGTTTGATCTGGATGCATTACTGAAAAAAGATTGTAGGGTTTAATACTACTTGAAGTCAGCTAGTGATTAATGTTGGCTCACTAGCTGTTGAAATAATGACAGAAGTGAGTAAAGTGCACAGTAGATCTGTACCACGGGGCTTCAGTGTGTTATTCAGTAT